GTGAGAAGACAATATTTAAAGAATCACTGAGAATTTCTTAAAGTTAAAAGGATGCCTTGTGGTTCTAAAATTCCAATAAAGCCCCACAGGTTATGAAAGAAAAAGAGAATGAAGAACTATACCTGCAGACATGGGGTAAGTTTGGTATTGCAAAATATCAAAAACAAAGAGATCTTAAAAGCAACCAGAGAGAAGACAGACTACCAGCCCCCAAAACAGTGATTCTATTGATACCTGACTTCTCGATAGCAGTAATGGAGCCTGAAAGACAGTGAAATGTTACTTTCAGTGTGCTGGGAAAAGGTAGCTTTCAATGTAGAATTCTTTTCCCAGTAAAATTATCTTTCAAGAATGAGGGCAAAATAAAAACTTTCCAGCTAAATAAACTGATTACTCTTGTTACTAATAGACTCTCAATAAAGGAAATTCTAAAGGATTAACATCATACAGAAGGTAACATCATAAAGAAATTGAAATGGAAATTAGAAAATTTTAAAACTAAATCACATCACATATCAAAACCTATGAGATGCTATTAAAGAGATACCTGGAAGAAAATTTATAACCCTAAATGACCCCTTATATTAGAAAAGGAGAAAAGATGGAAATTAATGAGGCAAGTAACCAATGTAAGCCAGGAAAAGACCATTAAGATAAGCCCAAAGAAAGTAAATGGAAGGAGATGAGCACACATTAATGAAACAGAGCCAAGCATACAATACATAGGCACAAAAACATTGAAAGTTGTCAGTTCTTTACTTCAATGTCTGGTTATATTTTGCTTGCTTCTTAGTTTTGTTGATTAGGTTCCAGTTATAGGACCAATCATATGGTATTTGTCTTTCACTGCCTGGCTTATTTCACTTAGTATAATGCTCTCCGGTTTCATCCATGCTGTCAAAAAGGGTAGGAGCTCCTTCTTTCTCTCTGCTGCGTAGGATTCCATTGTCTAAATGTACAATAGTTTTTTGATCCACTCATTTACTGATGGGCACTTAGGTTGCTTCCAACACTTGGCTATTGTAAATTGTGCTGCTATGAACACCAAGGCACATAGGTTCTTTTGAACTGGTCTTTCAGAATTCTTAGAGCATAATCCCAACAGTGGGATCACTGGATCGAAAGGCAGTTCCATCTTTAGTTTTTTTGAGGGAATTCCATACTGTTTTCTACAGTGGTTGTAAATACCACCAGTCTGCAATACCGCCAACAGTGCACTAGGGTTCCCTTTTCTCCACAACCTCACCAGCACTAGTTGTTTCTTGATTTGTTTATGATGGCCATTTTGACCTGTGTAAGGTGGTATCTTATTATGGTTTTAAGTTGCATCTCTCTGCTGGCTAGTGATGCTGAGCATCCTTTCATATGTCTCTGTGCTGTCTGTATCTCCTGCTAGGAGAAGTGTCTATTCAAGTCCATTGCCCATTTTTTAATTGGATTGTTTGTCTTCTAATAACCAGAGGGGTAGGGGAGGGGATAATGGGGGAAAGACGGGGAAGGGAAATCAAGGAACATATATAAAAGACTAATGGAGAAAGACAAAAGGAGATAGGATTGAGGGTGGGAGGTGGGGGTGGGTGGGGCAGGGGAGAGTGGTGGGGAAAAATGGAGACAGCTGTACTTGAACAACAATAAAAAATATAAAAGAAAAAGTTAGAAATTGTCTTTTTGAAAAGAGTAATAAAACTGACAAATGTCTGGCAAAATTAATGAAGAAAAACTAGAGTGATGACATAAACAGAATTAGAAATAGGAAAATAAAGCTACATATACAGAAATTAAGATGATAAGAGGGCATTAATGAACAAGTTTATGGCAATAAAAGTGAAAATTTAGGCAAAATGGATACATAGAAAATTATTTATCAAAATTAATTTAAGAATTAGAAAGTTTGAATAATACTATAACAAAATGAAATCATTATAAGTTTTGTTTCAAAGAAAACTTCAGGCCCAAATGCTTTTCTGCTGCTATCCAACAACAAAAATTTCCAACCTTTTTTTAAAGATTTTATTTATTTATCTTTAGAGGGGGAAGAGAAGGGGAAAGGGAGAAAAATATCAGTGTATGGTTGCCTCTTGTGGGTCCCCTACCGGGAACTGGCCTGCAACCCAGGCACGTGCCCTGACTGTGGATCGAACCACGATTCTCTGGTTCGCAGGCCCGTGCTCAACCCACTGAGCTACACCAGTCAGGGCAAAAATTTCCAATCTTATACAACCTATTCCAGAGTACAGATTGGGGAACATTTTCCAGCTGAATCCAAGTATAACAGAGGACCAGATGAGAAAAGAAACTCACCTGTCAAGCTTACAAATATAGTTACAAAAATCCTGAACAATATCGTTGCCAGCTAAATCTATCAGTTGGGATTTTCCTAGGTCTTCAAGGGTGGGTTAGTATTAAAAAATTCATAATATAATTTATCATGTCAACAAATTATAAGGAAAAAATTATACTATCGTCTCAGTGGTTGGAGATGTAGCTTTGGTTAAAACTCAATAAGTTATCATGAAAAAGATCTCAAAGTAAAAATAGACGGGAATTTTTATAGCCCATTAAAGGGTATCTACAACAAACCTAAAAGCAAACACCACATTTAATAGTGAAATAGTGAAAGCCTTACCTTTGAGATCAGGAAGACAAGAATGCCCTTATCACAGGGATGTCAAACTCATTTTCACGGGGTGGGGGGTGCACATCAGTATTGTGGTTGCCTTCGAAGGGCCAAAATAATTTTAGGACTGTGTAAAATGTAACTACTCCTTACCAGTTAAGGAGTTAAAATTACATTCAGCCCTTTGAAGGCAACCACAAGGCTGATGTGGCCCCTGGTGAAAATGAGTTTGACACCCCTGCCTTATTACCATTGTAATTCAACTTTATGTAGATGTTCTAGCCAGGTAAGTAGAATAAAAAACGAAAAATAAAGATGCTAAAAGAGGAAACAAAACTGTGACTATTTGTAGATAATAAAATTTTATTCACATGTATATTTAAAAACAGACCCTCACATCATCTTTTACCAAAACAGGGTGTTTGTTTTTTAAATTTATAATGATAAAAATGCAATTAGACATGAATCTGGATGTGGATCCTGTTTCTAGTAACTCTCAGGGCAGTAAGCAGGGTCAGTAAGTCACATGATTGTTTTCTTCTCTCACAGAGATCACTGTCTTTTGTTGCCTGATTTCTGAGTGTCTTGAAAACTGTTTTATATGTTTCGGTTTAGTGTCTTAAACTGTTGTTTATTATTTAAAAATATGTTAATTTTTGGCTCTTTCATATGGGAGAGTAAATCTGGTCTCTGTTACTTCATCTTGACTGGAAGCAGAAGTCAATTTCATTAAATGGCATTATTTCTTAGTCCTCTTTTGTTGATAAAGGATTATTTGAACAAATACTTTATTCTGGTACAAGGCTTTTTTCCTTATACGCAGGTATAGATTTTTTGTTTGTATTTTCATTTTGTTTTTAAAGTAACTTGTAATTTAAAGGCCCAGTTCCTGAGGACATAAGCCTAGGGGTACTGATGAGGCTATTCCTGAGGCTTTTGTCATTCTCTGTTGCTATGTGCTTTGTTATTGAAGGCTGTTTAAGGTCTCATCACCTCTGGAGTTTTGACCAACTGATGTATTTCATAAATTTTAGTGAAAGATACATTGAGACAAACCATTGATGGGTCCACAGTTGTACCATATTTGTGCACTGGCTCAGAATGAAAACCTCTATGAAATTACCGAGTTACCTTTGTGGAAGGCCCTGAACTCCATCTTCTAGTTTGTCTGACCTAGCTAGGTCAAATCAAAAGTGATTTGCAAAAACTTCTCTGTTCAAGGCACAGTGCTATGATTTATCTGTAAGGTACCGAAAATTGTCTAAATATTAGCACACATTACAAATATCCAAATAAAGTATGTATAGTTATATTGAGCACACTGCGCTTTTCTAAGGAGTTTGTAAAAAATGTGGTTTAACTTGCTGGTATATGATAATAAACTTATTTCTTTGTGATTATGAGCTTTATAATTCAATAGCAGATATTTATTTTCATTAAGCTACAATTCACACAGTTTTGGCTTAACTAAAATTTCCTTTATATCTCACAAAATTAAAAAAAATTAGACTGAAAGTTTCTTTCAAAAGACGCTTCATATGGGCCAGCGAGGTTATTTTAGAAACACATTTAATTATCAATGATAATTAGGATTAGGGATACAAAAGAAAATTGAGATCTTTGAGGAATCCATAAATATAATTTTTCATCTGTCACTTTCAGCCTCTCCTACTGCTGCTTAACCTATTCACTCACAGGGTAGTATTGCTGCTTCGTTGGGATTTTGGCTCACAGTTTCTGCAGCCTACTTACTTGCTAAGCCAGTGACCAGTGTAATGGCCCAGAGCTAGGGAGAAAAAAGGACCTAAATTATTTGAAACTAAAAAATTAATAGCAGAATAATGAGTGATCCACTGTTTGTCCTCTGTTGGATTCTAGTGTTTTGATCAGAGGTGTCCTTTTCTACCATTTTACACCTTAATCACAACAGCCTATATAAATATTTCCTATATAAATACTTGGATTTGGGGTAGCATGAAAATGGAAAGGATTAGAAAAAGCATGTACTCTTTTTAAAAATATATTAAGCCTTCAGATGTATTTTGTTTAATTTTTATCCTCACCCAAGGACATTTTTTCATTGCTTTTTGAGAGGGAGGGAGAAAGAGACAGAGAGGAACAGAGAAACATCCACCAGCTGCCCTCTCATTCATGCCTGGACTGGGGATTGAACCTGCAACCTTGGTATGTTCCCTGACTGGGAATTGAACCCACGATCTTTGGTCTGTGGGACAACGTACCAACCAACTGAGCCATAGTGGCTAGGGCAAGCCTCCAGATGGATTTTAAAAGCTTAAACATATTGAATGCTATTGCTATTTCTAGTTAAGTAGAAGGGTGTTTTGTTTTGGTGGTTCTTAACAGTATACGTTTTTCTTTTCAGCTACTAAGTCAGGATTGTTACCCCCACCGCCTGCACTCCCTCCGAGACCTTGTCCATCACAGGTAGGAGACATGCTGATTTCTGTTAACTATTGGGTAGTAGAGAAGTTGTCTTACCACTGTCATTCTTTTGCAAGGTTGGATTGCCACAGAACTGGCTAGTCAGGTTTCCAAGAGAGCAGAAAGTAGTTCAATTTCTTCTTATCCAACCAGTCTCCCTAAACTCATGTGGAAAAGAGAAAGTTTCCTCAATAAGCAACCAAGTAAATGTGCACTAGTTTATACTTGGCCATAGAGGGTATCCATCTCTTACAGGTCTCTCCCCTCCCCGTCCATCAGTGGAGTCAGAGTATCTCTGTGTACAGGAAGACAGTGATCCATTGCACTGGCAATTGAGGCTTTCACCATGTCCCCTTAAGGAGCACCTAGATGAGATGAGGCTCTGGATTTGCACCAACAATAAACCTGGACTTTGTCACAGCAAAATTAGTGGGCATTCTGCCAGCTGCTGCTTTCAAACTGGGGCCTGGGAGCCACCTGGATGAATGAGTGAAAGACCCGCCTGAAAGGGCTTTTGTGACCAGCATCCTTATCTTTCTCCTGCTGTGCAAGAGCCAATAGTTACTTCCTGGTTGTGAAATGCACTGCTGCTATCAGCAGTCCTCATCTGAGCTGCTTTAGGTGGGCTTCCTGCCTGCTTTGGGGTTTAAGGATGGAAGATCTGATGGGAACTGAGAATTCTCAAGTCACTGTTAATGTATGAGACTGCTTCTTTGTCTCCCAGATTTCCCATCACATGCAAACAGTGAGCCCAGCGCTCAACCCAAGCCTTCAGCTCAGCTGCCTAACTAAGGAGACCTTAGACTACGGAAACAGGTGTGGAAGATATGCAGGCAGAGAGCCCCATGCCACTTCTCTCCCCTTACTCTCCACCTTTCCTTCACTATAAATGGGGCACGCACATTCAAAAGAGGAGGCCCTGTGTAATAAACACACAATTGTCTTTAGTCTTTGTGCAGGATTCAATTCTGAATATTGGCCCCGGGAAAAACTCACCTAACCACCTGTATGGGGCACTTGAGTATTCTCTTTCCCAAAGTACTTGTGATACAACAGTCTTTGGGGGAGACATTACTAGGGCTCTGTGGTAAGACACATTTGCAGGCTGCTGGGAGATTCCTGTTCTGGGAGATTCCCAGTGCATATGAGCCCATGAAAAGCTTTGAAGTTCTACAGTAAAGAAACCTGGTCAATTTTGTTAAAGCTGGCAATTTCCTAGCTTGTGTGACCATTCATCTCTTTATTTATAAAATACCTATTAATATCTGGAGGGCTTAGTGGTTAGGAAACATTATTATACCCCAGTCTTAAGGTATTGGTAAGAACATTTCCAAACCTCTTTCATCTGTCACCTCATCTCTATATTATGTGATTAAAGTTAAATTTTTATATCTTATGCCAATACTTTTTGCTAGAAGAGCTGAAAGTAAAAAAGAAAGTTTACTGCACATTAGCTTGGGATTTCAAATTGTTGTTTTCAGTTTATTGTGTTTTCTTCCTCATTTTTTTATTCATTCATTCTTTTGTTTTTTTTGGCAGAACTTAAATTTAATCATAGGTCTCCTATTTCCAGTACCGCATGGCAATTTTGCTAAATAGATGGTGTTACCTCTTTAACTTTTTCTCCTCACTTAGGTGACCATCCTCTTGCTTTCTCTCTCATGAGATAATTTTTATCACTAAACGCTCTAAATTCTTCTGCAAGGTTAATTTTTTAAATATTCCTTTGTATATATGGACAATCTGCCTGACTTTGGGAAAAATTGTATATACCAGGTACTGCAGGGTGGGGCAAAAGTAGTTTACAGTTGTTTGTATGGAAAATAATATAGTAATTAAGAAATAGTAATATATGAATAAACTCTGTTTTGTGTGTTCACAACTGTAAACTCCTTTTGCCTTACCCTGTACTTAACTACAGAGATTTCTTTTATGGGGCTTAAACTGTAGTACCTAGAAACCAGGCTTCCTGGTTTCTACCAGGTATAATTAAAATCATTATATTTATTAGTAATTTTTAGAAGAGATTAACAGAAAATGTGTTCGGATTATTCTTGGATTTAAAATTTTCATGTTATTTAACTTGCTAAATGGGGAAAACTAGATTATAATAAACAAGAAAACATTTTATTCTCTAGAAAGGAACACTTTAAAACTATGTGGCCAATCAGCGATGTACTTTGCAGGTTTAAAGTATATAAGAGAAAAGAGTTTGTGTGTTTGTAGCTATGCACACAAAGGTACATTTTGATCATTTCTACATACACCAGAAGTGTATCTCTACTGTAATCAAGTGAGAGAGATGAGGTATAAGTTTTCAGCATAAAACACCGTTTATCTAGCCTCTACTTATACCAAGCACCACTGTGATATGAGCATCTGGATTAAGTTATACAAATGGGGCCCTGGCGTTAGGAGAAGGAATACATTAAGAAAACCAGATCTTTTTATTTTTCGTACCATAGGTAAGATCAAGAAGGACCCAGTGACTGTATGAAGACTCACATGGTTGGGGTCCCACATTTTCCTGTGGACAGGCTAGAGAGCAGGGCATGGTATTTTGACTTAGCTCAGAAGAGGTGGCACACTTGAACAAAAAAAGACTGATTCATAGCATAATTCAAAAAAAGACTGATTCATAGCATAAAAGGTCATTAAGGTTAACTATTTTGTAGGGAGCAGTATTAAAATGAGAGTTAGTTGAACTTATTGGCTCACTGTGTGCGTATGAACTGAGTGAAATGCCTGCCATCTACAGTGTTGGTGCTTGTCATGTAGGTCGGTTCTCTGCTAAGGGCCTGTTTGGTACTTCAGTAGGTAAATCCCTTTAATGGTGTTGATATCATGGCAGATTTCTTATGGCAATTGTGATAGAGCTGCAGCTTCAGTGTAATTATCTTTAGAAAAGATTTTTGATACAAAGCATAATCTTTTTAATTTTATATTAGTACCATATCTGATGAATTGGGGCTCCCTGTAGACTAATGTACTCAGAATGTTCCTATTTATACCACTATTATCTCACAATATGATGGCAGCTGTTCCTCACCAGCAGTCTGATGAGTACTAAAGTAGCACTATAAGATGAAAGCACTGTGGAAGAAGCATTTTATCAATACTTTTAAGCTTAGAGAGACAGAGGAGGACTTTGTGGAATGGCTGAGGTGGCCAATGAAATGAGTTTTAAAGAAACAAGGGAACTTTTCTTTTTAGGTGACTGAGACATTCAGAGCTTTACTGTAGAGAAAAAACAAATGCAAAGAAATAGGCATGTAAAGAAGTCTCCATGTGTTCCAAGAACTTCCCAGAATTTGGAAGCTGTGAGATTTTAGGGGAGAGATACTTAATATTTGGAGGTGGCAGTGAAAAAACCAAGTGGCCTGCTCACTGCAGTCCTCCTGCTGGTACCAGAGCTGTGGGAGAGGAAGGGCCTCCTGATGAGAGTTCTGTCTGGGGAGCAGTCCCTGAAGACTGAGCACAGGGTGTCACTTAGCCCATGGGTACTAAGCCTTGTGCACACTGGACCCATCTCGGGGCTTTAAGCCTACTGAGGTCTGGGTCCCACCCCCAGAGATATTGGTGTGGGATGAGGCCTGGGAACTGGGAGCTTTAAGAAGCTCCCCAAGTGATTCTGAAATGCAGCCAGGATTGAGAAGCACTGAAGAGGAAGGATTGCTCAGTAAAGAAGCTGAGAATATAGGGGATTTGTTGATACTATCCCATGAGTTCTTCAAGGGCACAGTGGAAAGTTTTCTTGTGTTGGGGAGGGTGGGAAATGGGAGGTCAGGTTAAAGGGTGTACTCAGATCCCATGGGACAAGAACCCAGATCCTGACAGTGGTCTGAGAATCTTGGACTTCTTGTGATGACTGACATCAACAGTCTCAGAGGGCACTATGGGAAGGTCTTGCTGGAAGGACTAGTCACTTTGTGCCATAGGTCCTGTATGCACTGTTGTGAAGGCCTAGCCATGAACACAGATGGCTAATCTCTCGTCTAACTGGCATGTGCCTAGAATCACGTCCTTAAGGCAGTACTGAACCTCACAGGAATATGCTGGGTATGGTGCTTTATTTCAAAGCCAGATTGTTGGATAAAACTTTTTATAAAATGTTGCCTTCATTTCATTTAGAAGGAAAGACTAAGGCTCATGTAAACTCATATGGCCGTTTGTAGGCCCTGAACTTCTGAAATATTTGACACTCTTTGCTTTAAAAAAAATATCCTGTCCTTGTAAATTGATATCCTACCACTTCAAGTATTCTTTCCATAACTTAATATACAGCTGATGATATAAAATAGTAGATTCTTCTGGGAGAAATTAAAAGTTTTAGAGCTCTTCCTTTTTTTTGACATTACTGGTGATTATGTAAGTCTCTTACTAGGGTTATCTAATACATTTGTAAGATATAAATTTGATTAAAGTGTAACATACATGCTGAATCCATTTTAATAATACTAAATCCACTTTTAAGAGAGTGAAATGAAGTATCTCAATTGGCAATTTCCCAAAATCTATAAGAAAACAGGAAGCAACATTCTTTAAACCATGTGGAAATGTCATTTCTTCTAAAATTTTATGGTATTTTTTCTTTTTTAAGGTTTTATTTATTTGTTTGTTTATTTTAGAGAGATGGGGAAGGGAGGGATAAAGAGGGAGTGAAACATCAATTTCTGGTTGCCTCTAGTGCACCCCCTACTGGGGATATGGCCTGCAACCCAGGCATGTGCCCTGACTGGGAATCAAACCAGCGATGCTTTGGTTCACAAGCCTAAACTCAATCCACTGAGCTACACCAACCAGGGCTCATGGTGTTTTTCTTTATCAAATAAAACTCAGTGGGCATACATCAAACACTGTGGGGCCTTTTGCTCTAATATAGTCAAGTGGCTCTGTGTAATATACATTAATTACTGAATTACTTTTAATACATTGGCTATATAGATGAAGTATATATTTGTGAGCTTTCTAAAGCATATATAACATCCTGATTTTCACTCATC